CCTAACATTTATAGCAAATTTATTTCGTTTTTAATGGTGGATCAGCGTTAGCAAACAACAGTAAATTTAAACAGGCCTTTGAATTGAGGGATTCTGGGAAATGGAGGATAATAAATCCTAAAGCGAGGCAGCTAACATAAGAATCCTTGAGAAGTGTGTTGATGTTCAGCCAGATGTTCTCAAAGATAAAGTTTCGTAGAATAACACTTGATTGTGTCTTTTTTTTCTGTAACCACCAGGATTTAAAGATTTAATTGTAGTTTCATTATTTTTACATTTTTATATATTTTTATCCATCTAGAGGTCACTATAAATTGTGGTTTGCAATAGAACTTCATGAAAATTCTTAAATTTCATTATTTTTATTTATTTATTTTTATTGTTCCTTTGTCGCCTTTTTAAATGTTATGTTACCTTGTTATATACATAAAAAAATTATAATAATTTTACCCCTGTAGAGGTCACTATAAACTGTTGACTGAAATGGAACTGCGTGAAAATTCTTAAAAATAAATAAGTTTAAAAAAAATGTAAATAAATAGTAGCATACTGGTTTAGAATGACACGAGGGGAGAGTAAACTGACAATTTTGCTTATTGCATTAACTAAGCTTTTAAGGTAGAAAAACACCAAGAATGAAGACTGAAAGCTTAAAATGTAAAAATCTTGTGTGTTTAGAGGCCTTCAATTCATCATGCAGAACCAGTGTTGAATAAGTCACATTCTTCGCTGTCCTCCATTGTTTGCTTCTCTGGCATGTTGTTGTGAGTCTAATCTGGAGATTGTCGGACGGCTCGCAGGAACTGAATAAACAAATCATGGTGTGTTGGTGTTAAAACCTCCTTATCAGCTCAGACGCTCATTCATTACAGGCCGTGCATAAACGCTCATTTATAGCCAATCCCTTGAGTGATTTCTGGCCAGACGGGTCAGATAAACGCTTTCTGATCTGAGGCCAGATTCTCCATGTTTGTAATCATTTAAAGAGTGTAGGATATGACCAGGAAGCTGACAGGGGTCGACCCAGATCATCACACAGCTGTAATTGTCTTATCTCACCTTTGAATCACATGGATTAGAGCCGGAATGCTGTTTAGTGCTTTACAGAAAGCCAGCGGATCACGGAGGAATTCTTGGGATGAATGCAAATCGCTTGCTTCAGTGACAAGAACACTTTTTGTCCTCAGTGACGTAGATAAAGCAGCTAGAGACTGAGCAGTTTTGCGATGGATGTTTGTGTTGATGACAGATACTCGACCTCTTCTCAACACAAACATCAGTATTTGCACAGGGGAAGATTGTAATATAAGTATATTGTAACACAAACGCATGCTCAGCAGTTCCTTCCCAATGCTGGGTGAATGGGCGTAAATTTTCAACAAGCGCTTCCTCTTTGTGCAATACTCTGATTTATGGTTTTTTTTTTTTTTTTTATGGTTATATCATACATTTTCCTTCAAAATCTCGACCTCATGTTTATATTTACGACATATGACATCCTGGACCTAACATTTATAGCAAATTTATTTCGTTTTTAATGGTGGATCAGCGTTAGCAAACAACAGTAAATTTAAACAGGCCTTTGAATTGAGGGATTCTGGGAAATGGAGGATAATAAATCCTAAAGCGAGGCAGCTAACATAAGAATCCTTGAGAAGTGTGTTGATGTTCAGCCAGATGTTCTCAAAGATAAAGTTTCGTAGAATAACACTTGATTGTGTCTTTTTTTTCTGTAACCACCAGGATTTAAAGATTTAATTGTAGTTTCAATTAAATCAGATGTTATCAAGTTTGTGGTTTTGTGACTTCAGATATTTGAAAAATATATTTGTAATTTTATTGGGGACACTTATTACCAAATTAAATATTCATGAGAGGAATTTTGTGCAGATTTAAAGGGATAGTTTTTTTTTTTTTCCAAGCTCTTTTCCATAAAATGAAAAACGATTAGTAGTGACCATTTCAGTGTTATTTTAATACTATGATATATATATATATGTGTGTGTGTGTGTGTATGTATAATTTTTTTTATTAGATTTTATTTTTATATTATATTTTTATATTTTTTGTAATTTAAAAAAATATGCTTTTGTAATTTCAGTTCAAGTTAAACTAAATGAAAATATTACATTTTCATATTAAATATTAAAATATAAATGTTGCCTTGGCAACTAACTGAAATAAGTTTTTTAAATATTTTATTTTAAATTTAAATGTATTACATTTTTTATTTCAAGTAACAATTTTTTAATGGCTTTAGTTTTAATTTTCAGCCTTCAGGTTTGAGTGAATAAATAATGTCAAAGTGCAAAAAAAGTGCTCAGTGCATTTTAAAATCTACAAATGAAACTTTTGTGAATAAATAATGTCAGAATAGGCTGAACTACACCTTTTTTAAACAAACTTTTTACCCATCATGCTCTGTTACCCTCATCCATTCTGTTTTAATGTAGTGCTAAAAGACAATTAACGAGGCTCTTTGTACTTTATAGTCGCGTCTTCTTTTTAATTTCTTTTTTAATTATCCGGCCTCCTCCTCAGGTCTCTCAAGGGCTCCCCTTAGCGTTCACGGTGGCAGCGTCATCTGACTTTTGTCATCTCATGCGTTTAACGAACCTCTCATTGGGTTCGAAGACCTCGTTTTTCAGAGCGGCAGACAAACAGTGGCTGGGGATGCTAAAGATAGCTGAGTGACGCTCCTGTGATCAGGTGCTTTTCATGCTAGACTCTGAGAAGAGAAGCGCAAGCTCTGAAACATTCGTCTTTATTGGTTCTTATGGTGCTATTAGTGTTTGATAAATGTTCTGTCACCATTTGACAGTTTTCCACTCAAACACTGAAAGGACTGTTTATACAGCGTGTTTATAACCCGATGATAACCCGGGGTTAAGCGCAGTGTGAAAAGCCCTAATGTTGCAAAGCACCAAACTGGATTTTAAACACAAGCAGAATTTGTTTGAATTGTTCATAAAACCATTCATCTGAAAGTGTCAAATGATTATCTATAATTTCTAACAACATAAATCGTTATCAGAGCATTTTTAGCATTTCTTCGGTTACGTTATTAGAAATTCACACATTTGTGTTGTAATTTTTACACAAAATGTGTTGCATTTATGCAACAATTTACACCACCGTTCAAAAGTTTGGGGTTGGTAAGATTGCATTTACAAAGTTGGATTTATTTGAACAAAATACAGTAAAAATACAGTAATATTTAAAATATTGTTAATTTAAAATCTTTGTGAATATATTATGAAATATCATTTATTTATTTATTTATTTGACGCAAAGCTGAATTTTCAGCATCATTACTCCAGTCTTCAGTGTCACATGATCTTCAGAAATCATTCTAATATGCTGATTTGCTGCTCAAGAAACATTTCTGATTATTATCAATGTTGAAAACAGTCGTGCTGCACAATTTTTTTGTGGAAACTGTGATACGAGTTTATTTTTCAGGATTCTTTTTTCAAATTTTATTTAAAATATAATTTTTTTGTTTTGTTTTATGCATCCTTGCTGAATAAAAGTGTTAATTTCTTTTGTACTGACACCAAACCTTTGAATGATAATGCATGTTATTGCTGCATTCAAGTCTCAGTTTCTATAAGAATTTCAGTGTTTCCCATACATTGATTTATTTGTGGCAGCCTGCCACAATATCATCAAGAAACATTTCTGATTATTATCAATGTTGAAAACAGTCGTGCTGCACAATATTTTTGTGGAAACTGTGATACGAGTTTATTTTTCAGGATTATTTTTTCAAATTTTATTTAAAATATATATTTTTTGTTTTGTTTTATGTATCCTTGCTGAATAAAAGTGTTAATTTCTTTTGTACTGACACCAAACCTTTGAATGATAATGCATGTTATTGCTGCATTCAAGTCTCAGTTTCTATAAGAATTTCAGTGTTTCCCATACATTGATTTATTTGTGGCAGCCTGCCACAATATCAAAACTGACCGCCACAAATAGATTTTCCAAATGCCTTTAACTTAATTGAATAAACATGAGCACTGTACGTTTCAAAATCAAAATGTGGCCGGGTAACCGACTGTCTTCAGAAAAGCATTGATGCACTGATCTATATAATGACTATACTGTGTATTACAGATCAGTGCATCAATGTCATTTCCATTTAATCTTTCCTATAATGCCTGATAAAGTAGCGCTGCTTTGATTACCGCCGTTCGCGGGGAAACCGCTATATATCTGCCGCTCCAAAAGCGCCACCTGCTGGCAGAAAATGAATTTGCGTTTTCAATCAGCCCGGCTGCTGTTTTCGTCATATATATATATTTCCCCAGGGGGAAGTGCCGCCACACATAGAGTGTAAATCTGTGGGAAACACTGAATTTACACCAAAATTCGCTCCGCTTCTAAATGAAGGCTGTTGTCATTGTCACTGTGAGCTGCAGTTTGACTCTCGGGTGTGTTAGAAGAAACGTCTTGACGAGTGAGCAGGTGGATTTTGCTCTGTGAGTGTGGGAAGGCATCGTTCCTGGCTGGTTTATTCTCCGTTCAGTAATTGGCGATTTCTTTTCTTTTCCCTGCAGGAGTGTTTTCCTAATGAAGTGACGTGAGGTTTGGAGGTCTGACTGTGTTCGACTCTTCATCCTTCCGCTTTACTTTCTCTCCTCTGTTGTGCGTGACTATTGATTATTTTTTCTTTGCATTCTCAGCTCATCTTAGATTAACTCATTGTCTCTTCCTGTCTCCGAATCATTGGGGAGGAACCGGGAACAGTAGTTTGTTTTTCTCGAGAAACCTCAAGTGAAACACTCCAGGGAAGTTGCTTTCAGTGCAATCAGGCCATAAAGGGAAATCCGCAGGAGATTAAATCCATACTGAATCTTGTTTTCAATTCCATCTCTGTTGGCATTACCGTGCCATGCTTGAGATGGCTGGCGTTCCTGAAAACGCTACAAAATTTAATTTTAACACATCCTCATCTCATTGTATCTCTTTCTCTGTTTGTGTGTTTTTCCCAGCCGTGAGCGTTTTGCTGTGATTGGCGGGGGAAGCCTGCAGATCATCAACCTGACCGAAGAGGATGCTGGGATATACGTCTGCCAGGCGAACAGCGGCAACATGACCAGCGAGATCCAGGCAGAGCTCACGGTGCACGGTACATTTCACAAGAACATATTCACATCTTAAATCAAATCGAGTCAGCAAACCTGCTGAGAATCATCTGAATTGTGAATGATTCAATTCAGCGCAAACAGACTCATGGAGCGGCACTAAACATCCCGTATGTAATTATGAGCAGCATTGTTCAGGCTTTTGAAACACACACGTGTCTAGACGGCGTTCTCCTCTGCGGGGGAGGAACTTCAAAGCGTTGTTTTGTTTTTATTTATTTATTTTTTTCTGTATTATTTTCATCTCTTGGCATGGGATTACATTTTTGGAGAGTCAGTGAGAATTCACAGCTCTGTCTAATATGGAGGTTTGTAAAGGTTTTGAATGGAAACGCTTTCAAAAGCGTCTGCTCTATAGATACAAGTTAATGCATGCACAACTCTAGTGTTAATTTTGTCAGCTATTTTTCATTTAGTCTTAGTCCTGTGCCAAATGTAACTTTTAGTTTTTATCATATTTAGTCCACTTGTCCTGTTTTAATTTTAGTCGACTAAATGTCTACACAACTCAAACTCATTGCCATATATTTGATTAAATGTGGCCACCTGACCAACCATAATTCTGTCAGGACCACTATTGTCAAAATGATAGATACTTAGCATAAAGTTTGTTTTGGCGGTATGGTTCTGTTCTGGGCAAAAAACTCCCTGCCCATCCTGTCATGAATGAGCAGGGAGAGCAGCAATAATAACCCCCCTAGGGTTAACAGAACAGAACAAGGCAGATATCATTAATGTACTTAATGATATTTAAGTGTAACACTTTATTCAAGATAAAGGAGTCTGATTAGCAAGGAATATCAGAAAGCCAAGTCCTGACTGTGGCGAAAGGAGGAGCTGGGGATGGAGAAGAGTAATTTGCTCCTGAGCAAGCTGAAAAGCTGCTGAATAATACTGAATAGAGCTTATATAGGAATGCCACAACAGGTGTCGTATTCCTATAGGTAGATGTGATCAGCTTGACTCACGTGACCTGCCAGAACTAACGCTAACGCTTAATTTTTCATTTTTAAATTCTTTAATAGCCTGACATGCAATACAGTGGTCATTCATTCAAAAGTGCTGCAGGAAATGCAGAAGACAGTACTGCACAATGGGCCTTACAAAAAAATCTGTAAACCCATTCTAACTGTAACTGTAGCATTGAATTGAATGTGACAGTTTGCATATAATGGTTTTACATGGTTGTGTTCGCCCAGATGTTTAAGTGCCGATTATTACATTTACATCTGTGCATTTGACAGATGCTTTTATCTTACATTGCATTCAGGCTGATGTTATTAGCATTTGATAACTGTTCTCACAGTGTTCAGAGAAAAAGTTTTAGGCACTACATTGTTTGAATACTCTTTTTAACATCTGCACTTTGTAGCAAACATTGTTGCAGTTTTTTGTAGTTTTGTTGTGTTACAAACTGTCAGGCTTGTGAAAAATGTAGTTACTATAAGTTAATAGTGTTTAGTTAGTTCTTTCCCAACACTGGTTCGAATAACATGGATCTTCGAGACGAGAAGCAACGGTAATTTATAGCACAATTTACCATTCCATTGTAGCGTCTGGACCAATCAAAAACACAATTTTTCATTTGATTTAGCAAATCGGTTATTCATTAGATTAACAAATCGTCACAGTCCCCTCACCCAATAAACTGGGTGCCAGGATGTCTGCAACGACACCAGGCCCCCCTGGTCCCCATGGCAACTAATGCTGATACCACTGGTTTTATGACCCACAGGAATGTAAGTAGGGAAAATCACTGCATGTTCCATAGCAAGAGGCACAATGCACAGTAGAAATGGACTTTTCTACTAATTAATTCATAGGAAAACCTTTCTTTGAATGAACACACATATCCTTCAGGTCATGGTGTATGTTGTCTTTGATATTTTTAGACTATTCTATGCATGCTTATGATGGAACCCATTCCTGTCATCTTGCCATATGTAATCATACCATGTTTGGTATCTATGAATTCGCCTTCTGATGATCGGGACGAGCGTGTATATTGTGTGTTGGTACATGGGCAATATATTGGTGTCCTGAGAATCTGTAGTAATTTCGATTCAAGTTCCATTTGCAAAGTACCATGCCCTCACACAAAGGGTCATAAAAACTCCCCAGTATCTCAAAACTCCCACTTGGGACGTCAGCCTTTCTCATTGGACAAGCCCATTTTGAGAGGCGGGAATCGTCCGAGACATTAAAAGCCCCACACTAGGGACCCGCCCAGAGTTAATTATTCATATTTCCCCATGAGCTGATTCGCTACACCATTGTAAAAACATCACAATAATCCACAAGTAATCCACACCACTGCAGTCCATCAATTAACATCTGGTGAAGGGAAAAGCTGCATGTTTGTAATAAACAAATCCATGGAGTTTTAACGTTGCAAGCTAAAATATAGGTCCTCAAGCCATAATATTGCTTTCTCCAGAAGTCGGGAGAGAAATATGCACATCAAGCACTGTTTATAAGCGTTTATATGATTTTGATGTTAGAGGACAGCAATGGATGGACTTCTTCACTGGAGGAAGCGTTTTCATGGATAGAAGACTTGTATTTTAGCCGGAAGCAATGGTTTGAAGTTAAAAATGTCTTAATGGATTTATTATGTGGATTACTCGTGGATTATTGTGTTGTTTTTATCAGCTGTTTGGACTCTCATTCTGACGGCACCCATTCACATCCATCACTGAGCAAGTGATGCAACGCTACATTTCTCTAAATCTTCCCATGAACCAGGCTAATCCAGTGACTAGTTTTTCCTCGTGATTGGTGCTTTGCTAAAAATTGCTTTCTAATTCATGCAGTTTTTGATCACATTACAGCGCAGATTACATAGTTTAACAATTTTTCCAAAGAAAAACAGCTGACATAATGATTTGCAACGTTCAGTTCATTCCAGCTCACATAAGAAGAATATCCTAGTCAGCTTTTACCACTTTATGAGCATATTTAATTCAAAATCACACTATGGTATATTCTGTAGCCCAAGTTAGCAACAGTACAAAATGGATGGAGGGTCAATTGCTTATTATATACTCCTTTATAAGCTGTAAAAAATAGAAAACTGATAAAAACTCATGCACGCTGATTTATAGAAGTTGCGTAAAGCTAGTCATTCAGAATGAAGCGCAGTCTGTGGTCGTGCTGTCTGAAGCCCAGACTACCTTTGATCTGACTCTTGAAATTGAGCCATATCATAATTGGATTTTCTAATTAGATTAATTTTTTTTCTTGTGAGACTGACATGGATGCTAGCGGTGATGCAAGAGATTTCAGTGCAATATAACATCAAGAGTAAAGTAAGATAAAGCTGACAGCAGTGGGCCATGTGTTCATGATCTCTTCGCCCTCCTGATCTGTTATTTTCACTCCCTCCTGCTGCTGATGTTTTTTTTCCATTCGCTTTTCTCGCCTTTTTACAGGTACTGACGCACGTATGGAAGGGTTTGTTACTGAGCTCAGGAAGTTGAATCTCCCGTGGGGAGTCAGGAAATCTGATTTCACGTCAGATGGGTAAAAATAAAGCGCTTTGGGTAACACAAGCACACCTAGTGAGGAGGGCGTTTAGGTGTGTAAAGCTGCATGTTTTGAAAGCCACGTACGCAGGTGCATGTTTGAACGTTTTTATAGTTCCTGTACGTCTTGCATAAACAATATAAAGGAATATTCCAGGTTAGCAATGCGTTAAACTCTATAGGCAGGATTTATGGCATGCTAACAATTTTTAAAAAAATGTTATACGAGTCTTTTCTAGGTGAATAAACTTCCAGTTTTCTGTGGTAATCGACAGCACGTCACAGATGCTGTGTGCAGATCGTAACTTGTATTGAGATGAACTCACTCGGTTCATATTTTTAGCTCTCTTTCATGCCTGCTTGTGCTATTTTCATTGGTGTGATTAATATATGATGTACTTTCAACGCCAATTAGTTTTTTCCCTCTTCTTGCATTTGAGTCTGTGCTTCTCTTGCAAGACTTTGGCTGACTTTGGATGCATAAATAACGCTGTGGTGTTTTAAGAGCTTTTCTGGGTTATAGAGTTATAGTGACTGTTTCTTCCGACAGTATGGCTGCTGTGAAACGCCGCATTGGGTTATTAAACACTGGCAATTTAATATCTGCATGTGAAGTGACTCATAGCTCTTGTGCCGGGGTTATTTTAGAAGCCGGTGTTCACATGCTGGGATTTTCCCCAGATTCCCTCTCAGATTAGCAGGATTGTAGAGAGCCGTGTAAAACGCTGTTAAGATTGGCTTGGGTTACGCTTTAAAAGTTACTCATAAAATGAAAGGATGTGTTCTGACAATAACTGTAATCGTATTACTTTCACACCCACTTGCTTCAGTAGTGCACACATAAGTCCTGCATATTTAGTAGTGCATACTTCAGTCTTATATATTTAAGTTGATTACTTTTTATTTTTTATACTTTATTGTGTTCCAGTTAAATTCAATTCTTGTTACATTCTGTCTACATTACATTTGGCACATTTAAAGTTTTTTTTTGTTTTTTATCACCACCTATATTAATAAACGTTAAAAACTAAAGGAATACGTATGCACATATACATAAATTATAAGTTCTGTTATTGTTATATTTTATATAAATTCAATTATGAGTAGAAAATGTTTTTATTAAAATATATTTTTAAAGAAGTCTCTTCTGCTCATCAAGGCTGCATTTATTTGATCAAAAATACAGTAAAAACAGTAAAATTGTGAAATATTATTACAATTTAAAATAACTGTTTTCTAGTGGAATATGATTTAAAATGTAATTTATTCCTGCGATCAAAGCTGAATTTTCAGCATCATTACTCCAGTCTTCAGTGTCACATGATCTTCAGAAATTATTCTAATATGCTGATTTGCTGCTCAAGAAACATTTCTGATTATTATCAGTGTTGAAAACAGTTGTGCTGCTTCATATTTTTGTGGAAACTGAGATTTTACTTTTCTTTTTTTTAGGATTCTTTGAATAGTAAGTTCAAAAGAACAGCATTTATTTGAAATTACATATACAATTTTATTTTTTATTAAATTATAATTATTTAAAGTCCAAAAGAACAGCATTTATTTGAAATATAAATTATAAATAAGTGTATTTTTTATTTAATTATAATTAATTAAAATGTATCATTTTATATTTCAAAATTAATTATAAATTTGAAATTATAATATTATAAATGTCTTCTACTGTCACTTTTGATCAATGTCTTGCATCTTAAAATACTAAGACTATATATACTATGATACCATATATATATTCATATTTAAATGTAAGAAATTAATTCTTTTTTTCAGCATATATTTAAATATATTTTATTCCAATCTCAAAATTAAGAAAATCAGAACAAAAGAGTGTCTGCATATTTTAGTGTATACTTCAGTTCTATATGTTTCAGTTTAGTGCTTGTGTCAATCCTGCACACTTCAGTCATCTGCAGTTGCTGTTTCACATGCTACTAGTTTTTAAAAACATTAGATGGTATACAGTATGCACTGCGCAGTAAACAAGTATTCCATTGAAAACACAGCCGGTGTGAAACCAGTCCTGCAGGAGTCTGAGGGAGAGAAGATCGAACTCAAGTTCATCCAATCTACAAAACCAAGTCTGAAAACAGCATAATTCGCCAAGGCTGATGCCGGAGAGATACAGCAGAGAATTGAGATCACACCACAGACAGTGACTGCCAGAGATCGTTAGCGTAGCAGAGTTCAAGGAAATGAATCTTCCTCTGTTCCTCTCCTCCAGCTGACAGCAGATGGAGCGCTGTTGATTTTCTTTGTTTATTGTTGACTTTAGAAGGTGAAGCTGGGCGTGAAAAATACAGAATAAGTCATCTTTGACGCACTTTTGTCAGCTGCTGATAAGAAAACTATCTCTGAATCTGAAACTCCTGTTATATTTAGCGTCTCTGTATTCTTGTTCTTCATCTGTTCTTCCCTGCTGTACATCCTGCATTACCTGCACAAGTTACAAACATCAGGAGAGGTCACAAACTAGCTCGTTTCCTGATGGATGCGGTTGCCATAGGAACTGCCACGTCTGTCACACGAATCCCAGCGAAGGGATGTTGCACTTATGCAACCTTTAATGCACCCTGTGACCACCTCTCCAGTTCATGCCTGCATTTATTCACTTCATTCTTCTAGTTCCTCCTCGGTTCTTGACGAGACCCTCCAACACTTACGCCCAGGAGTCCATGGACATCATCTTTGAGTGTGACGTCACCGGCTCACTGCCGCTCACCGTCAAATGGATGAAGGATGGAGACACGGTCATTCCCAGTGATTATTTCAGGATGGTATGTTAGACCCCCTCCTCACTGCATGATACACATTTATCCATGAAATTATACAGTAAACAGTTTAAAAAATAAAGTTTTACATGAATAGGACTTGATTGCTTTTTTTTTAAACAAAGCGGTCAGTGAAATAAGGTGCTTAAAATCTGGATGATACTTGATTTATTTTTTAATTTTTTTTTCAGTTGTGTAATCTTGTTACCAACCATTTTTAATCCTTTATTTTATTGTATTTTATTTAAACTTTTTTTATATTTAAACTTTTTTTTTTTTTAAGTTTTTGCAGTTATTCAACCCTGTTACCAGCCATTTTAACTGTATTAATACAGTTTTAAATCTAGATTTGTTATTTTTTATGTTATTTATTTATTTATTTCGTTTTATTTTATATTTTACATTTTTCAATCCCTTTTTTTTTTTTTGCTGGTTACCAGCCATTTTAACTGTATTAATACAGTTTTAAATCTAGATTTGTTATTTTTTATGTTATTTATTTATTTATTTCGTTTTATTTTATATTTTTCATTTTTCAATCCCTTTTTTTTTTTTTGCTGTTTTTCAGTCCTGTTACTGACACTTTTAACTGTATGAATACCATTTTAAATCCTGATTTTGAGTTATTTTATATTTTATTTTATGTTTTTGCAATTTTTCAGTCCTGTTACCAACATTTTTAATGTATAAATACAGTGTTAAGTAATGATTGTAATTAGTTTTTGTTTTATATTTTATTTTTATTTTTTTTGCAATTTTTCAGTCCTGTTACTGACTCTTTTAACTGTATGAATACAATTTTAAAACCTGATTTTTAGTTATTTTATATTTTATTTTATTTATTTTTTTTGTGTGTGTGCAATTTTTCAGTCCTGTTACCAACATTTTTAATGTATAAATACAGTTTTAAGTAATGATTTTTAGTTATTTTATATATATATTTTTTGTTGTTGTTGTTGCCATTTTTCAGTCCTGTTACCAACACTTTTAACTGTATGTATACTTTTTTAAATCCTGATTTTAATTAGTTTTTGTTTTATATTTTATTTCATTTTTTTCTATTTTTCAGTCCTGTTACCAAAATTTGTAATGTATAAATACAGTTTTAAGTAATTATTTTTAATCATTTTATATATTTATTGTATTTTTTGAATTTTTTTTGTAGGAATACAGTTTTAAGTAATGATTTTTAGTTTTCATACTTTTTTTTATTTATTGTTTTTCAGTCCTGTTACTTACACTTTTAACTGTACAGCTAAATGAGTCATTATCCAGCAAAATTGTCATATTTAGCCATCTTTGTTTTTTCACAATAATAAGAGTGCTAGTGTTATTAATTCTTACGCAATGCTCTGTTTTGTTGTTTGTGTCCCCACAGAAGCAGCATAACTTGCAGGTTTTGGGTTTAGTAAAATCAGATGAAGGTTTTTATCAGTGTTTAGCGGAGAACGACGCCGGGAACGTCCAGGCCAGCGCTCAGCTGATCATACTGGATTTAGGTAAACTCTCTTTGTGTATATTTGCGTTTCTGTGTGTGTTTATGCAGAAATCCTCGTCCTAAATGAAGATACTGCATTAAACGTGTGCAGGAAAGCGCAGTCCATCTCCAGAGCCAAATCCCTCAGATCTCGAGTGTTTATTCTAGTTGAGTGATGGGCTAAAGACTTGCCAAGACTCACCGATTGATCTTTTGACAGGAATTAAACACAGCAATCATTATCACACGATGGGTCGTAGCAGTCCGCCAGTGATGTTTTCTGGGGATGAGTCCAAACGCTTTGTGGCTTTAATGTCATTATGATGGTTTTACAGCGTGTCATAAGCGTGACATCCATATATTCACATTTTCTGTTGAAAATCCTGTGCAGACTCGTTGTGAGGGTGTTGTGGGAGGTTGTGTTACTACAGTATGCATGCTGCTAAGACGTTCTGGATGGTTTTTACAGCCCAGTTTGGTCTATTTTAGTTTTTTTTCTGTAGCTTGTCTCTCCATCTCAGGCTTCACATGCATGCGTTCGTACTCACGTTTTCACGCACTGAATGAAGGCTTGAACACATGTTCTCACACGTCAAGCAGAGGCGTAAATGATTGGATGGCTGGTGTGAGATCTGTTTCTCACCTGGCGCGGGTGCGAGTCTCCAGTGTTCCTCGACTCGCAGAGATCTCACCGCTGTATGTTTAATTAACCGTGCCGCTTTATTAGAAACGTCAAACATGTGCATGCTTTTCATTTTCACGTGCGCTGCGTTGCATTAGCACCTCTCGACGGAGACCCGAATTATGTGTGCAGAACTCTGGATGTCATATAATAATCCGGATTTCTCCAGCGGACGCGTTAAGTTTAGTTTGCAAACTGAGAAAACTCGCTGACACTGGATTGCAGTGATTAATTACTGATCGGATTCCAGTGTAGAGGAAGTGGATTTAAGTCCTCATGGGAAGTTTTCAGAAGTGATTTTGGCCTAAAAAAGGGAACACGGAAGAGCAACGGATGTGCGTTAGGTGTGTGTTGCCCCGGAGAATGATGGGAAGTATAGTTTGGTTGTGCTAAATTTGTATTTTCTGCCAGCATTATTGCTTTTCTTCATCAACAGTACATGAAAAGTGAGTGAAGTCATTTTAAAATAAACATCATCTAATGGTGTGAGTTTGGGGCGGGGCTATCTGTTTGGCCAGCCAATGACAGACTTGTTTGATTTCCACTGGTAATTACAACATTGTGGTGACATTTATTGTTTTGCTTGTATGTGATTATCAAACGTTATTTAATTAGTTTTTCTTAATTTTTAAAATTATTTTATTTTATTTGTTAATTGTTTTTTTTTTTAAATGAAAACCTTACCCAATGTCACAGCTGGTGATTGTGGTTTTATTGTTTATTTGTGTTATTATTATTATTTTTTTTTAATACGCTGTGCGGCACTTTGTTCAACTTTGGTTGTTTTAAAATATGCTTTATAAATAAACATTGTATTGTATTGTATTCTATTCAAATATAATGAATTTGTTAAAAATGAATTATAATTAACATTTAACCCTTCATTTTAAAATGGACTAATATTTATTATATAATTTAATATTAGTATTCTTTAATGCTTAATTAATGTTTCAGCAACTATAATTTGAATAATATTATTAAAATGATTTTATTAATTTTAATTTAGTGTAGTATTGTTCATTTTATTTATTATTATTTTTTTGTTTTTGTTTTTTATTTTTGTTAGAAAAGAGAAAAATTCAATTCTGTTAATGAAAAAGGGAACATAAATTTTAATCAAATTGAACTTATATTTATTCTATTATTTAATATCTAATCTAGAATTTAATATTAATATTATTTTGTATTTAATTCATATTTAAGCAACAATAATTTGAATAATAATATCACTAAAACAATTGTATTCATTTTATTGTGGTATTTGTTTTTTATTATTATTTTTATTATTATTAGATCCCAACAGTAGTAGTTTTCCTGAGAGAGATTTGTTGTTATCCCTCAGCACCTTTTAGAGACAGGAGCACTTTATAATGGCAGGGAGGAAGAGAAGAGGAAATGAAATCCTGATAATGAAATAAATCGGTCAGCAAGGACGATCTGTCACGTTGGAGTTTAGTGGGCACTTGTTGACGGCTGATTTCAGTGATTGAAGCGTCACTCTCAATTATTGATGTTACTGGTGTAGTTTGGGTTGGAAAAGGAGAAGTCTTCATTTGCTCTCCGTTTAATCTCTTTGTTGTTTAGGAGGAACTGATGTAATGAGTGAACCGCTGTGCCTCTCGTCAGTGTTTCTGATGTGCTTGTGTGTCTTTCGCTGCATGAGATCTTTATGTCCTCTGAACGTTTGCTCTCAGCCTCTCCAACTACAGGAGAGCTTTGTTTTGATTAACGAAATAATCCACTTCAGGACACTTGGAAATCAGTCCAGGCCCTTCTGTTGATTTTCCTGCTGTGCTTGAACACGACCCTTCACAAGTCATATACATTAGAGGTTTCTTCGTTTGTGGTTCTCAGAAAAGAATCGTAAAGAGACAGTTTACCCAAAAATGACAATTAAGTCATAATTTACCCTCCCCCATGTCGTTCCTCACATTATTATTATTATTGTTGTTGTTGTGAATAATAAATATATGCAAAAATAAAATTAAAAAAACTACAAATATGTTAAATATAAAATTATACTATTATTATTATTATTATTAATAATAAGTATTGTTAATAATAATAGTAGTAGTAATAAATATAACATTTAAAAAATATATACTAAAATTACAATTAATTTTAATTATACATTTTATTGTTGTACATTTTAATGTTAAAATATTCTTTTAAAAAATTACCAAACCAAATGTAGGTCTTAATTTAATCTCAGATGATATTACATAGATTTCAGAGGAACGGACACCTGTCACACACACACATGAGTGTTAGATGGAGTGTGAATACTGGTTTCACCAGCTTTGATGCTAAAACACTTTCATTCCTCCATTACAGTACAGTGCCAGCACATGATCGCTCTCGTTCCAGCTGTAATTATGTCTCTGTGTGTAATGAGATCTGCTAGCGTGCTGTGGATTACGTTCTGTTCAACATGTTAATGTCATGCATTACGCTGAGCATGATGGTAGGGGTGGGCGGTATGACAGAAATCCTCTCAATATAGTCAGTTTTGCTGGAAATTCAATGAAAAAAAATTAAAACCATGTAGTAATGCCTTTATTTAAATAATCCAGTGAATAAAATACTTAACAAATGGAAGGTACTTCATTTATTTGATTATTCTTTTTTCATTTGGACCATGAAATCATATGTGCATTTTTTGCATCCTTTTCCTTTCCTTTTTGTTTGATAAACCCACTGTGTGTGTGTGTGTGTGTGTGTGTGTGTGTGGGTGTGTGTATACATACAGTACATACATACAAACAATTTTTGCTCTTAATTTTAATTTTAATTTTATTAATATTACTATTATTGTTAAATGAGTCAGGTTCGGTAACAAACTGCACCCGTTACAAAAACATTTTTTTTTTATTAATGATTAATTTAAAAATTATAATTAATTAAACCCTTTTTACTTATTTTTATAAAAATTGCTATTTTATTATCATATACACAAGTCAGTTTCAGTCTCTAACAGCACCTGTCAAAAAAGCATGATTTTATTTTATTTATGTTTATTTTATTATTAATTTGTTCAAATTATAAAAGTAATGTAACTTACTTTTTAATTCATATTTTCACAAAATGGTTTATTATTATTATTAATTTACATTTATTATTACTTTTTACTTGGTGAATTTATTATTCTATGCACCCCTATTTTGAAAGGCTCTCCCTGTCCACCTATATCTGTGGATAAATCTACCGTAGTAAAAGTGGTGTAGAAAAATACCTCTTGATACATTTCTACCATCACACGGTATGTATCGTCCTACATGATGGGAATGAAGAGATATTTAGGCCCTGAAGCTCGTCACCATGTACCATTTAAAGTCTTGCCATCTAGACCTGTTGTGTGTGATTATGAGTCTGTTTACCGTGGTGAAACCCTCCATCTGACAAACCCTTGATTAGGATGTGATTTCTGCCGCGTTGGCCCTCTGGAGGTCTGCGGCTTCGCTGCTGCTGATGTTTTGCTCGATAGATGAGCAATCAGATGTTATTGGATTGTGTGAATGGCTATTGATGAGCTGGCCGGGGTTCCTGTCAGTTGCTCGGCTGGATGGAGAGAGAGAATGCGAACGAGAGGGATTTTTTTTTTATCCCTGCTGTGTGATTGTACAATCTGAAACAGCACTGTTTCTCCACACCCGCTCCATACAGGAAGCTCTCTCCGCGGGATTATGGGGCTTTTGGGCTTTGACAGGAAGTGGCACACGCGCTTGGTCTGCTGTTCGTCTGCTTTCTCTCTCCACCCGACTAATGACGACGATCATAATGACCTTGTGACGTAAACATGAATCCATAAATAACAGGCCAGATATAAATAACGGTGTGAAGCCTTTGGGCGGGTCCCGTTCTCAATCTTCCTGTGGGTTTGAGGTTACGCAAACAGACAGTCAGGTGTGATTGAGGCCGCACACTCCATCTCTCTGTTTCAGCGGGCAGCAAGAGTTTATACCGGTAAAGAGTGCTTCAAGAACCAGGGGGATTTTAGAACAAGAAACCCAGACACAAGCACTCTGTTTTATGTTGCTTTGCCCTTCGTAAAAGACAAAAAACTTAAAGGAGCTTTTACTGTAGAGCTGTTGGTTACTATTCCATTACTAAGGGGTTTTGGATAATTGCTAGGGTGTTTCTAGGTGGTTTGCTAGGGTGTTCTGAATGGTTGCTAGGGTGCTGCTAGAGTGTTTTGGGATGTTGCTAAAGTGCTCTGTGTGGTTGCTGGGGTGTTCTGGGTAGTTGATAGGGTGTTCTGGGTAGTTGATAGGGTATTCTGAGTAGTTGATAGGGTGTTTTGGGTGTTCTGGGTAGTTGATAGGGTGTTCTGGGTAGTTGATAGGGTGTTCTGGGTAGTTGATAGGGTATTCCGAGTAGTTGATAGGGTGTTTTGGGTGTTCTGGGTAGTTGATAGCGTGTTCTGGGTGTATTTCTACTGTGTTTCACAAAAAAGATCGGTATTGGTGATCGGATCGGCAGATACTGCTTTCTGTGATCGGTGATCGGCCTCAAAATCCCCGATCGGAGCACCCCTAATTGTGATCAATAGGTCTGTGAAACTGTGAATGTTTTATTTTATTTAGTTCTTTTAATTAAATATTATGAATCTGTTTTGGCTTTTTCTAAGTCATTTCAGAGCAGATGCATAAACATCAAGCTCTGTATCAAATATCATGAAACGGCTGGAAATATAGAGCTGTAATCTTTAGCTATAGTGCTCAGCCCTGCATACTGAATGAGAGGTACAGAACTTCAAACCCCAAAATTCAAAATTTCCTCAGCTGATTGAATTCACACCCTCGGGTCTGCTTCAGTTTTCTATTTCTGTTTTATTTCATAGTGTTTTTGGTGCATATCTAATAATAATAATAAAATCCCAAGGTCCCTTCTGTGCTTGATGTCATTTCCTGACTTAAGATCTTGCCTTTGAAGGGCAGTGTGAGCGTTTCCCCCCAGCTGTGAAGCCCTGACGGAGAGCGAGGAGATTTGAGATTAGCTTTTTCATTGGGGTGTTAAATAAATCAAGATATGAATGTAGCAGGAGACAGTGATAACGTTGCAGTTCTTTTTTGAAGTCCCATGATGCCACTGTTATCATTATCAGATGTTTTATTTTTACCCATCAGGTGTCTTATCTTAGGTCAGTGTTGTTTTTCTGTCTGTACTCATGCTGAGTCAGGATATGAGCGGGAAGCTCCGTCCGGTGGGCGGCAGTGCCCAGTTTGGCACATCACCATCTCCAGCTGGTCTCTGGTGCCCGTTTGTGTGCCAGACGCGGCAGGCTGGCAGACACCTCGCCCACTCGCACCCGCGCCGTCACACAGTCGCCCCACTGTCCGTCGAGCAGGTTCATTCAGCTGATGTGGGGTGTCACTCACACCTGAGGGTGATGCCCGGACACAAGCTGTGAAAGCGTTCTGTTCTGTTCTATTCTATTCTATTCTATTCTATTCTATTACTTTATTTTCTGTTTTATTCTATTTTGTTCTGTCCCTATTCTATTCCATTATAACCTATTCTGTTCTTTTTTGTTTTATCTATTTTATTCTGTTATATTCTATTATTTTCTGTTTGTCTATTCTAATCTATTCTATTATTTTCCGTTTTATTCTGTTCTGTTCTATTCTATTCTATTCAATTCTATTTCTATATTCTGTTCTATTCAATCATAACCTATTAAATTCTTTTCTGTTTTATCTATTCTGTTCTGTTATATTCTATTCTTTTGTTTTTGATATTCTATTATAACATTCTATTGTTTTTTATTTGATCTATTCTGTTCTTTTCTGTTATAATCTGTTCTTTTTTATTATATTCTATTCTTTTCTGTTTTGTTCTATTCTGTTCTGTTATATTCTATTCTTTTGTTTTTCTATTCTATTATAACCTATTCTATTATTTTTTGTTTTATCTATTCTGTTATTTTCTGTTGTAATCTGTTCTTTTCTATTATAATCTATTCATGGGTCTTCAACGTTTTTCAGGGTAAGGACCCCTTAGACGATAGAGACATGGAGCAGGGACCCTCGATACAAAATGTGTCAAGCAGAGCTACATATTAAGCATATACTGTAATATACTACTAACTTAGAAACCTCTGATTGGCCATTACGTTCAAGAGATCAACAAACATGTCTGTGATTGGCTACATTTCTCACCGCTGCAAAAACATGCTGTAAACAGGAACATCATATAATAATAATAATAATATAATTAATATAATTCGCCAATTATATTATATCTTTGTAGTATCAACTGAGAGTGCTCTTGCTTTCAATTTTGGGTGCTCATATTTAAAATTGACATTGTGATGTTTTTTTTTTTTTAACAAAAAATTGTTAATTGGCGGGCCCCGGTTGAAGATCTATTCTATTCTTTTCTGTTTTATTCTATTCTGTTCTGTTATATTCTATTGTTTTTTTTATTTTCTATTCTATTCTTTCCTGTTTTATTGTATTCTGTTCTAATCTGTTCTATTCTTTTCTGTTTTATTTTATTCTAACCTAAGCTATTCTTTTCTGTTTTATTTCATTCTATTCTGTTATAATCGGTTCTGTTCATTTCTGTTTTATTCTTTTCTGTTATAATCTGCTCTATTCTATTCTTTTCTGTTGTATTCTATTCTATTATAATCTGTTAATTTCTGTTTTATTCTTTTCTGTTATAATCTGTTCTATTCTATTCTTTTCTATTCTATTCTATTATAACCTATTATATTCCATTTTATTCCGTTCTGTTCTATTCTACTCTTCAATGTTTGTCTATTCTAATCTTTTCTTTTCTGTTTTATTCTATTCTATTTTAATCTGTTATTTTCTGTTTTATTCTATTCATTTATTACATTTTCTATTTTTTTCTGTTTTATTCTATTCTGTTATAATCTGTTCTGTTAATTTCTGTTTTATTCTTTTCTGATATAATCTGTTCTATTCTTTTCTGTTCTATTCTATTCTATTCTATTAAAACCTATTCTATTACATTTTATTCTGTTCTGTTCTATTCTACTGTTTTTCTATTCTAATCTTTTCTTTTCTGTTTTATTCTATTCTATTTTAATCTGTTATTTTCTGTTTTATTCTATTCATTTATTACATTTTCTATTCTTTTCTGTTTTATTCTATTCTATTTTAATCTGTTATTTTCTGTTTTATTCTATTCATTTATTACATTTTCTATTCTTTTCTGTTTTATTCTATTCTAGTGTATTCTAGTCTATTCTCAGGTTTTGATTCTTGAAGGTTTCTCATTGTTCACTGGGCTAGTTTGATCGTAAGCTTGACACATCTTTTGCAAACAAGTACAATGAATAGCCACTTCTCTTCAGTTTTGCATGAATCTTTTTCCAATCATCAGCTCTTTCTGGAGCTGATTGGCCAATCACACAGGATTCAGAGTGTTCCAAGTCAATGGTTTTGTGTTTGTATGTTTGTAGATGTTAAGCGACACTTGTATTGTTGACCTTGAAGCAAGACTCATCCCCAGGAATTACATATTTTGAGGAATATTTTGAATAATATAAATATATATGGATGGATGGACAGATAGATGTTTATATACAGTATATTGTATGGTGATATATATGTATATATTTGTTTATTCTTTTGCAGTAGATAAGCCCCAGTTTCCTCTAATTTGCATCTACGCCAGATTTCATAGAGCATGCTATTTTTAACTACTTCAGATGAAGTCATCAGTATGTTTTAATTGCAGGGACAGATGTGAAACTGTAATTAACATTGTGCTTACTGATATGAATGTTAATGAAATGCTTCCCCTCAGTGTTCGTAACATGAGCCTCCGTCTCCTGCTCTGTCTCATAGTAAATTTGCTGTTTGGTTTTGATTTTGAAGTCATTGTAGTTGTCTTTTCATTTACGTCAATTATTTTATGTTCTTTTGTTTGTTTTCTTCCTTTTTTCTCACCCTCCCTCTCCTCCCGAACTCTGTATCTATAATTTACCCCCCTTGTTGCCCCTCCCATCACAATCCCCCTTCTATGTACTCAAGACGTTGCCCTTCCTTCACTGACCGATGCCACTACTGACCATGTAGCATCCAGCCCGTCCGAGCGCAACGACCCGACGCCCTCCGCCCCGCGTGATGTCGTGGCGTCTCTAGTGTCCACTCGATTCATCAAGCTGACGTGGCGCCTTCCTGCCGAGCCACACGGGGAGAACATCACCTACTCTGTGTTCTATAGTCTGGAAGGCACTAACAGGTTAAAGATGCTAAAAGATGCCAATGTGTGTTTGATATTGGAAAATTATCACTTAACATGGTCTTACGTAGTTTAAAAGAACAACTTACGCTGCCTCTGCAGGTTGTTAAAGGAACAGCAACAGGAAATACAAACTGTAACACTGTGCTGATGTTTAGAATACCATACTAGTATACTACACATACTAAGGATGTGGGGTTATCGAAGGTAAAATTTTAAGAATCGGCCATTGAAAAGCACATTGATCGACCACTAATCTGAGTATTCGGTAAAATGCAAAATCATCAGTGTTTATGTCCCTGAGTATACAGTATATACTGTGCACAGAATGTGGATTTTCTGTTTTAAACACTTAAAATACACAAATAAACTACTAGATTTAACAAAATGTCCAGTAAGCAACCAAATCATAGTGTGAAGGTTACTGCATCCCACAATGCAATGTGTATACCTACCATTTCCCATGTGACGTCCAGGGTCATTATTGTCAACTAAAATTATTAAAAACGTTTTTGTTAATTGAAATAAAGCTGAAATAAAATAATATATAAATATTAGAAAATTAGAAATGTTGCCTTGCAAACTAACTGAAATCAATCTGAAGCACTTAAATTACTAACTGGAAATAAAAACTAAAACTGAAATACAAAATAAATTAAATCTAAATAGTAATATCAAAAAATAATAATAAATTAGAAATGTTGCCTTGGCATAATTTCTGAAATAATTTTAAGTACTAAAATGACTTACTAGAAATAAATATAAACTAAAACTGAAATAGAAAAATAATTAAACCTAAAAAGTAAAATTAAAATATTAATTAATAGTGTATTTAATTAATATTATATTAAATTATTAATAAAAATAAATGCATGTCACATCACTAAAAAAATAACTAAAATTGAAATGAAAACTGAAAAAATTAAAATAATCTAATTCAAAATGTTAATAAGAAAGTGTTTTTTATAACTGACAAAAAAAAGTGGTTATTAACTTTATTTTTAGACAGATCTGATCAAATGTAGTTAGTAAGCTATAAACATATCAACATGTTTAGTAAGATTGTCATAAGATTTTTGTAGAAGGCTGTTTATGCTGACACCCCTGTGTTTTGTTATGAATTGTGTTGACACATTCTGGCAGACAAATTCGAGCTAGAAACATCTGCATTGACGTTCCTGACTAGCATGTTGCAGGCCTAAAATCATACATCAGACATGTTTGTGTTAGTTTGTTTGCATATTGCTGTTGCTTTGCTCGCAGGGAGCGTGTGGAGAACACCAGCGGACCGGGAGAGATGCTGGTCACCATCCAGAACCTCGTCCCCGACACCAAGTACACCTTTCGGGTGGTCGCGTCCAACGCTAACGGCCCGGGCGAGAGTTCCACCCCTCTTACAGTGGCCACCCAGCTGGAGGGTAAAACAGCCAACACACACCTACACACTTCAAGCATTGAATACTGGGCCAAGTCTGAGGTTTCTCTCTCTCACGACCACACTGGTCCTGTTTGTGCGCGTCCAAACTTACCGGACGCTGTTGATCTGGGAAGCGCTGTGGTTTCTTCACAGACAGGCTCTTTCTGTCCGAGCTGTACGAGTGTGGAATTGTAAACATCTGGGTGGTGGGACTGTCGGATGTCTGGCAGCATCTGTCAGGATGATTTTCATGGATACAGGCGACTAGTATTAATGAGACGAGAGCTCAGGGATGCAGGTAAGGTCGGAGCTGTCCGGAAAGATGCAGCCAATGCGAGCTGGTCTCACGGGACGAAAGGAGACTCATGCTACTGGAGGGCTCATGCATAGGGCAGATACAGAGACAAAAGTAAAAAAAGGAAACTGCTTCCCGGCTCGTACGATATCTGACATATAGTATGCGAGATCAGGATTGTGCATCCAAGGGGCTTTGATGGTGTAGTATTTTTTGCTGTTTTTTTGCAGTAGTCTATGTCCATGCATGCTAATTGCGACGTCGACGTGGAAGAGTTTGTGTGATGATTTGCTAACAACCAGTCAGTTTGACTTATACGGACAAAATGAATTAAAGCAACACAATTTTCTTTCTAGGTCTTTCTAGGTCAACACTCCTCCGTTTGCTTTGCATCCCAAACGTGGACCATGCAATGCATTTCGCTCGTTTGAAGTGTCGAAATATCCTCAGCGGGATTCAGATGCCAGAATAGTCTTCTTTTACCATGTGATATTGTCATTATTTAACGTATCCTGCTGAAACGTGGCGTCTTTTGTCACTATACGTGCTGTTGAAGTTTGCAAAGGTGAAAAAAATAAGTGTCAAACAAAAGAAAAAAGACGCTTCAAGTAGAACTGTAAGCAGTGGAAGACACTGTGAAGAAATTACTTCAGTGGCCTTTTGTGTGTTCAAACACTTAAAGCTGAAGCACAGACAAGTGTTTCTTCTGCTTTACTTTCAGTTCTTGTGCCTAAAACTTTATAACAACCGAAATTATTAACTTTAGTGTTTTTGCATTCATGCAGGAGTCAGATTTGTGCACATATGTGACCCTGGAGCACAAAAGCAGTCTTAAATCGATGGGGTATATTTGTAGCAATAGCCAAAAATACATTGTATGGGTCAAAATTATAGTTTTTTTCTTTTATGCCAAAAATCATTAGGATATTAAGTAAAGATCATGTTCCATGAAGATATTTTGTAAATTTCCTACCGTAAATATATCAAAACTTAGGTTTTGATTAGTAATATGCATTGCTAAGAACTTCATTTGGACAACTTTAAAGATGATTTTCTCAATATTTAGATTTTTTTGCACCCTCAGATTCCAGATTTTCAAATAGTTGTATCTCAGTCAAATATTGTCCTATCCTAACAAACCACACATCAATGGAAAGCTTATTTATTCAGCTTTCGGATGATGTATAAATCTCAATTTCGGAAAAATGGACACTTAAAGGGATAGTTCACCCAAAAATGAAAATGTGATGTTTATCTGCTTACTCCCAGGGCATCCAAGATGTAGGTGACTTTGTTTCTTCAGTAGAACACATTTGATGATTTTTAAGTCCAACCGTTGCAGTCTATCAGTCGTATAATGCATGGCAATGGTAACAAAATCTATGAGAGTAAAAAAACATGCACAGACAAATCCAAATTAAACCCTGCGGCTTGTGACAACACATTGATGTCCTAAGACACGAAACGGTCGGTTTGTGCCAGAAACCGAACACTATTTATATCATATTTTACCTCTAATACACCACTATGTCCAACTGTCTTTGGGCGTGCGCACGGCATCCGGTGCGTGAGGTGTGTACGTGCTCTGGCGTATTTTACGTTAATGGGTGTGTTGATATCCAGCCGAAGAGCAATCAACCATAACTTCAGGCGAGCAGTCTCAGAAGTTGGGAATACGTGGAAAGTCACCACTCCCGAATGAGTTCGCGCGAGAGAACGTAATCTTTTAGTTTTAAGTCGGTTTGAACAATCCGGATAAGCGCAAGTACCATTTTGATTAGCCGTCGTACCTACAATGACTGTGCACTGTGTAA